GTTTATTTGAGACCCTCTCTATTTTCATTTTACCAGATGTCGATAAATAAATTATATTATGTGCAATAACAGTATCGAAGGTGCTACAGAAACGGGGTATTAGGAACACGTGTGTTGAGGGCTTTGATGGATAGGCAGACGCTACGGTGGCTTATGTGTCGATAGCAACGTGCCTCACCACATCAGAAGCATCATCACGGGGAGGACTGCTGGGAATCTAGCATTGCGGAAGTGTTGCTCAGCATTAAGTCAATGTGTGGGATGTCTTCGTCCAGTAATTCTGCGGTTTGTTTTACGTCTGAAGGAAAACAGTTTTAGCTTTTATTGCGGCCGGTGTTTTATCTCGGCTCTTTCAGAGGCCGATAATTCCTTTGTTTGTTCAGAACTTAAGGCATCTGTTACCATTAGCTTATTATGGGTTCGTTCTATGTTTATATGGCCCAGATGTATTCTGATATTCTTACTGAATATATTGCTCCGTCACAAAAGTCCCAGTACCATCGGCGTAGAACGTTGCTCACAAATTCCACGTGTAGCGGCGACAAATGGAGAATCTTGACAGGATTGAACCCAGGACCTAATCTGGGTTCGGACGCCTTATACACGTGGCCAAATAGGTTAACACAATCAGGGGACTGACATGGTAAGGGCTTCATCAATGAAACTAAATTCTTGTCCTGTTACACTTAACAACTGTTTCATATTTTATAGGAAAATACGGATTAGCTCGCTTCTCCTTTCTGTAACCCCAACTCGATAACTGACGACCTTGCAATGCCCACCCACCGAGGAGTAAACATCCCAACCTCTCCAATAGTTTCAACCCCCTTTTCTGCCATGCCCGTTTCAGATTTAGACCAACTGCCCTTCCGAACGAACCGCAGGTTCTACAGTGGTGTGTGGTGGCCAGATGAAGCTGGCATGATACAGATCTATAGCCACAACTAATTGACGTAACTATGGCAGCCGGGCAAAACAACTTAACTGACGACGGTGACAAATGCTGGCTGATCACAATCAAAGGTTGGAAATGCACGCGACAAATCACCTACATCGTTAACCTAAAAGTGGGAAATTGAAAACATCGGATATTGTGGTGGTTCTTTGTCCTCGTGCACGCGTTAGTGGTGGTGGACCGAGAATTCTGTCTCTACAGAGGATTAAACTCGGTCGTTAAAACATCGTACAGCCTGACTCACTACATAGGTGGACGACGCCGTGGCTGGGCGGGCTTTATAGGCAGTGTGGCTGGATAGACGTTACATGCTTGTATATGGGTTGACCACGATACTAGATAGACGCTACAGGCAGGTATATGGGTTGACCACGATACTAGATAGACGTTACATGCTTGCATATGGGTTGACCACGATACTAGATAGACGTTACAGGCAGGCATATGGGTTGACCACGATACTAGATAGACGTTACAGGCAGGCATATGGGTTGACCACGATACTAGATAGACGTTACAGGCAGGTATATGGGTTGACCACGATACTAGATAGACGTTACATGCTTGCATATGGGTTGACCACGATACTAGATAGACATTACAGGCAGGCATATGCGTTGACCACGATACTAGATAGACGTTACAGGCAGGCATATGGGTTGACCACGATACTAGATAGACGTTACATGCTTGCATATGGGTTGACCACGATACTAGATAGACGTTACAGGCAGGCATATGCGTTGACCACGATACTAGATAGACGTTACATGCTTGCATATGCGTTGACCACGATACTAGATAGACGTTTCAGGCAGGCATATGCGTTGACCACGATACTAGATAGACGTTACAGGCAGGCATGTGGGTTGACCACGATACTAGATAGACGTTACAGGCAGGCATATGCGTTGACCACGATACTAGATAGACGTTACAGGCAGGCATATGGGTTGACCACGATGCTAGATAGACGTTACAGGCAGGCATATGGGTTGACCACGATGCTAGATAGACGTTACAGGCAGGCATGTGGGTTGACCACGATACTAGATAGACGTTACAGGCAGGCATATGCGTTGCCCACGATACTAGATAGACGTTACAGGCAGGTATATTGGTTGACCACGATACTAGATAGACGTTACAGGCAGGCATACGGGTTGACCACCAGAACTAGATAGACGTTACAGGCAGGTATATTAGTTGACCACGATACTAGATAGACGTTACAGACAGGCATATGGGTTGAGCACCAGGACTAGATAGACGCTACAGGCAGGTATATTAGTTGACCACGATACTAGATAGACGTTACAGGCAGGCATATTGGTTGACCACGATACTAGATAGACGTTACAGGCAGGCATATGCGTTGACCATGATACTAGATAGACGTTACAGGCAGGTATATTGGTTGAAAACGATACTAGATAGACGTTACAGGCAGGCATATTGGTTGAACACGATACTAGATAGACGTTACATGCAGGCATATTGGTTGAACACGATACTAGATAGACGTTACAGGCAGGTATGTGCGTTGACCACGATACTAGATAGACGTTACAGGTAGGTATATTGGTTGAACACGATACTAGATAGACGTTACATGCTTGCATATGCGTTGATCACGATACTAGATAGACGTTACAGGCATGTATGTGGGTTGACCACGATACTAGATAGACGTTACAGGCAGGTATATTGGTTGAACACGATACTAGATAGACGTTACAGGCAGGTATATTGGTTGAACACGATACTAGACAGATGTTACAGGCAGGCATATGCGTTGACCACGATACTAGTGAGACGTTACAGGAAGGTATGTGGGCTGACCACGATACTAGATAGACGTTACAGGCAGGCATATTAGTTGTCCACGATACTAGATAGACGTTACAGGCAGGTATATGTGTTGACCAAGATACTAGATAGACGTTACAGGCAGGCATATGGGTTGACCACGATACTAGAGGCTAGCATATTCTTATATGCATTTTCAAATTTCAAACAAGCTGAAAAAAGTAATTACCTACAAAAATAAATGTTTCAGTTCAGGAACAGACAGCACCTGACAAAGGAAGCAATATGTTGCGATCATACAGAGAGGTTGATCAGCTTCAGTTTCCTATTGATTAAATCTGACGGTCTTAGAAGTTTACCATCACTTTTAACCCACCCTGTACTGCGCTGGTTCCATTCGATCTGGATTGTAGTGAGTGGATCTAGATTTCAGACATACGACACGAAATGTGAGTGCATATTCCTGATGGACAAGACCTAAAATGTTGATCACCGCGGAGCAGGGAGCGCCTTGGTTCTGGTACCTGTAAGGCACGCAACTGTGCGCATCAGACAGCGCTTTGGTTCTGGCACCTGTAAGGCACGCAGCTGTACGCATCAGGCATCGCCTTGGTTCTGGCACCTGTAAGGTACGCAACTGTGCGCATCAGACAGCGCTTTGGTTCTGGCACCTGGAAGGCACGCAGCTGTACGCATCAGGCAGCGCCTTGGTTCTGGCACCTGTAAGGTACGCAGCTGTACGCATCAGACAGCGCTTTGGTTCTGGCACCTGTAAGGCACGCAGCTGTACGCATCAGGCATCGCCTTGGTTCTGGCACCTGTAAGGTACGCAACTGTGCGCATCAGACAGCGCCTTGGTTCTGGCACCTGTAAGGCATGCAGCTGTACGCATCAGGCATCGCCTTGGTTCTGGCATCTGTAAGGTACGCAACTGTGCGCATCAGACAGCGCCTTGGTTCTGGCACCTGTAAGGCACGCAGCCGTATGCATCAGGCAGCGCCTTGGTTCTGGGACCTGTAAGGCACGCAGCTGTACGCATCAGACAGCGCCTTGGTTCTGGGACCTGTAAGGCACGCAACTGTGCGCATCAGACGGCGACAGAATTAATAATGAGGAAGAAAGCCGATTATCTGTTCCTGGGTTATAAGAACATATAATACACGTAATTGTAATTGTGACAATAAAGAAGGTTCCTTGCTTCTGAGTGGTACCTAGTCTGTCTTCTGACCGCCATTGTTTTGTCGTCACGTTATAAGGGCTTGTTTGACCATATGGCACATGCTGAGTGTCAGGTCTACACAGTAATTATGACTTATGCTGCCCTGTATTAATTACCGTTTCGTTTTGCATCCCGGTAATTGTAATTGCGTTATATCTGTGTGTCAGTGTTTCGTTACACACGTCCACTATCTGAACGGAGGAAACCCAACACTGCGCCTCGTCCGTCTCCTTGCTTCAGTCGGCCTACGTCCCGGAGAGATGTCCCCGGCATGGAGACCTGTCACTGGTTGATATTAACATACCTCCCGGCTGTTATAGAGTCATATTACACCTGGAACTGATGATATCGGCATGTTCACGATAACACCACATATATCACTGGGAGTATGTCCTGCCATGTCAGTGTCACAAGGAAACACAGTCGGTCTGTTTCAAGATAACCCCGCTGAGGAGCAGAATTCGTCATGAAGTAACTTGTGCCTGTCGTAAGTCGCGACTGAATTTACTGGTGTAGTCTTCCTCACTCACTCCCAGGCTTGCGACTTCTACCCCCAACGACGTTGGACATTTCAACAACTGGTCCAGATTCAACTATCTGGCCGTCTCAATATAGCTGGAATATTGCTGACTACAGGCCACATCATTATAGCTGGAATATTGCTGACTATAGGCCACATCAATATAGCTGGAATATTGCTGACTACAGGCCGTCTCAATGTAGCTGGAATATTAATGACTACAGGCCGTCTCAATATAGCTGGAATATTGCTGACTACAGGCCACATCGATATACATGTAGCTGGAATATTGCTGACTACAGGCCGTATCAATATAGCTGGAATATTGCTGACTACAGGCCACATCATTATAGCTGGAATATTGCTGACTATAGGCCACATCAATATAGCTGGAATATTGCTGACTACAGGCCGTCTCAATGTAGCTGGAATATTGCTGACTACAGGCCGTCTCAATATAGATGGAATATTGCTGACTACAGGCCGTCTCAATATAGATGGAATATTTTGCCGACTACAGGCCGTCTCAATATAGCTGGAATATTGCTGACTACAGGCCTCCTCGATATAGCAGGATTATTGATGACTACAGGCCTCCTCGACATAGCAGGAATATTGATGACTACAGGCCTCCTCGATATAGCAGGAATATTGCTGACTTCAGGCCTCCTCGATATAGCAGGAATATTGATGACTACAGGCCTCCTCGACATAGCAGGAATATTGATGACTACAGGCCTCCTCGATATAGCAGGAGTATTGATGACTACAGGCCTCCTCGACATAGCAGGAATATTGATGACTACAGGCCTCCTCGACATAGCAGGAATATTGATGACTTCAGGCCTCCTCGATATAGCAGGAATATTGATGACTACAGGCCTCCTCGATATAGCAGGAATATTGATGACTACAGGCCTCCTCGATATAGCAGGAATATTGATGACTTCAGGCCTCCTCGATATAGCAGGCATATTGATGACTACAGGCCTCCTCGATATAGCAGGCATATTGATGACTACAGGCCTCCTCGATGTAGCAGGAGTATACCTGACTACATGCCTCCTCGATATAGCAGGAATATTGATGATTATAGGGTTTCCACAGCCGTGGCATAGCAGAAGTGGGTTTATCTAAACCCATGTTGGGTGTCCACCGCCGTGGTATGGCAGGAATAGGTTTATCTAAACCCATGTTGGGTGTCCACTTCCGTGGTGTTGCAGGAATGGGTTTGTATAAACCCATGTCGGGTGCCCACTCCCGTGGTGTTGCAGGAATGGGTATGAATAAACCCATGTCGGGTGTCCACTCCCGTGGTGTTGCAGGAATACTGCTGAAAGCTGCACAATACTCACTCACTCACTCACCCAGATGATTGCTTACATTATCGGTTCATGCCACCTGTTCCTGGGAACTTCCTTTGCCAAACAAATATGTTCTTGACGTCAACGGAAGCTATTAAAACTAATGCCTTCAAGTTAAATGAATCAGGTACGTTCAGTGTGGTTCCCTCAGACGGTGTTATTAACTTTCTGTAATCGTTTTAGATATCAAATATGTTATGAAGCGGTATCTGTTTATATGATATTGTCTCGTAGAACAAAGCAGGGGTAAGATAAGCTGGATCTGGGGCAGCGTGCACCCTGACGTTGTATACTGTTGAGGCAGACACAAGAGGTTTATTGACGCACGGCATTACGTGTGGTGATGCAAGAAGCAAAACAAAGCTGCAGTGCTGAACGTCACCATATACCTACATCACCCACAGGAAGGTAACTGATGTAGGTGAGGCTGGGTGTTGAGGGGTCATGGTGACCAAGCACCTGTACACCATGGGAAGGTACTCAAGTGGGTCATACCCAAATCAAACCGATTCAACACTTAAATTTCTTTTCTTACATTTTCAAGTAATTTTCAAATAACTCTATTCCTTTCATTAGTGCTTGAGATATTTGTTTTAAGTGACGATGAGATGGTATTTGGGACTCACGGAAGGACAATGAGTTGGTGTTTGGGGACTCACGGAAGGGCAATGAGTTGGTGATTGGGGAGTCTTGGAAGGGCAATGAGATGGTGTTTGGGGACTCACGGAAGGGCAAAGAGATGGTGTTTGGGGACTCACGGAAGGACAATGGGATGATGTTTGGGGACTCATGGAAGGGCAATGAGTTGGTGTTTGGGGACTCATGGAAGGGCAATGAGATGGTGTTTTTGGGACTCACGAAAGGACAATGGGGTGGTGTTTGGGGACTCACGGAAGGACAACGAGAATGTGTTTGGGGACTCACGGAAGGACAATGGGATGGTGTTTGGGAATTCAGAGGAGGGGGGTTGACATCCTCTGGTAGGATAGAGCACACATGGACACAGGGTATCTGATGTCCATCAGGCTTTGGATGTTTCAGGGAACTGTTGTTTCAGGATTAAACCTTGCAGCCACTCACTCATATGCCGGTGGAGTAACTACAGGCACTTATATTCACATGGGTGACAGTGCACATAAATATACCCCTGTCAAGGACCCGTGTACCTGCAGCTGCTGTAAACAACATGGCCTTGAGGCCTTGGAAATCCATCCACACAAAATGGTCTGTTGTCGACGTAACAAGCACTGATGGAACAGTTCAAGCGGTGTTCATGTACTTGAAGTCGAAGAAATAGCGCATAACTTGTCTGTTAACAGACTGAACGATGTGCTGGACTGCATACATATTGTATGGTGCAAGTGAATCGTGTAGTGGCACGAGCACTTGCATCTTGTTCCACGTAGGATGTTCATCTGTTTGTTGTACACATTCCATGTTTGGGACGTTTATTCAGTTCCTGCGTCTGAACGTTCCGAGCAGTTATAGATGTCCTATGGTCCACGCATGTGGACAGACCGGTCACTACAGTGGACAGGGACGCTGGCAAAGACACCTATCATCTAAATCGTGTCAGACTTTCCACGTAAACAAAATAACAGGTAATAGTCATCAGGACCGGCTAATGGATTATGAAATTACATATAAAAAGTCGTGGACACCTGTCTCAACTTCCGCACAATCATCATCAGCAAGTTGCGCAGATGTGCAGGGCGCAGCACTTGCAGCAGTAACCGGTAGCAGGTGCGTGTTGAAGGCGGGACGGGACGGGACAGGGGTAGACTAGCATCCCCGCGCGGCTCCCATCGTGCTGCCAGTGTCTTGTCATGTATGTTTACCGCGGTAATTTGAATGAATGGGACTGAGGGTTATAAACCAGTAATAGGGCGGGTCGTTATCGGAACACAGAAGAAGCTTCCTCGATCCGGATACAATTGTCTCGGGTTGCAGGTAATGTTCACGAGACGCACGCAGCGAGTTGGAAATGGAAAACATTTAAACAAGTACAGAAAAAAGGTTGATGCGAGATGGATCGCAACATTTTTTTCGTATCCTGTGTGAGAAAAGGATAGTCTGTGCTGAGTGAACGAGTGAATGGGTTTCCTCAACCAGGCGCGCTTTCTCTACCGCAGGGGAAGTCTGACAGCTGGGGCAACCTATAATCGTTGCGATGTTACACCTCCAGGTGGTCAGTGGTCACTGTGAGCTTGTACTTCAGCCCAATTACTGAACATATCGCATACATGTATATAAATATATACTGAACATCATTGAAAACGCACCACCTGTAAATTTTGAAATATGGTAATAGGATTGTTTTGAGAGTGAAAATGAACGTTGGAAATGTTGTTAATAACACAAAAGACAATAAATAATGCTGTACAGTAAAGAACGGATTGCCCGAACACATCATGGAACACATCACATGACAACAACAAAATTCATGCACAACACACACGAAAAGCACAAATTGCATGCGTAAAACATGCTGATTAGGGGTATAAATGACCGTCGGCAAAACCGTTCTCATTTTAGCTGTACCTCCGCAAGTAAAGTTTATTTTGCAATGCCAAGATTGTCACCAGAGGAACGAGAACGGGCGTTGGGCATGTTGCAGGTTGGCACATCAAGCAGGATTATTGCCAGACGATTTGGTTGCCATCATTCCACCATCATAAGACTTGCCAACAGGTACCAACAAACAGGAACCACCAGGGACCGCCAACGTCCTGGCCAGGCACGTGTTACCACCCCTCGCAAAGATCGAGACATTGTTCGGCGCCATATTCGGGATCGTACGTTGCCGGCTGCCAGAACCGCCAACGCTGTCCAAGGCCGACGTGGTTTGATCAGTGCTTCCACCGTCCGACGCCGTCTCCGTGCGGCAGGATTACGATGTCGACGCCCTTATGTTGGACCCATTCTGACTGCTAGATATCGCCGTGAACGCCGACGATGGGCTGAACAGCATCGTTTGTGGTTGTTACGACATTGGCATGGTGTTGTGTTCTCCGACGAGTCACGTTTTCACTTGCGAAATGCTGACGGGCGTCTACGGGTATGGCGTCGACGGGGAGAACGTTACCATCAGGAGTGTGTTGTGCAAACAGATCGGTGGGGTGGAGACAGCATTATGGTGTGGGGAGGGATCAGTCATCATCACAAAACCGCTCTGGTAGTTTGTCGTGGCAGATCGAATGCCCTTTACTACCGTGACACCATTCTTCAGAACAACGTCGTTCCCTTCTTTAACCAACATCAAGATCTGCACACATTCCAGCAGGACAATGCTCGAGCGCACACTGCACGTGTTGCAATACAGTTTCTGGCAAACAACAACATTCCTCTACTTCCATGGCCTGCATTGTCACCAGATTTGTCTCCCATTGAACACTTGTTGGATTACATCGGCCAACGCCTCTCACGTCGCCCACAGATCAACAACCTTGGGGATCTTGAGAATGCCTTGCAATAAGAGTGGAATGCATTGCCTCAAAACATTATTCAGAGACTTTTCAGTTCAATGAGGAGACGTTGCACAGCTTGTGTTGCTGCTAACGGTGGTCATACACGTTACTGACTTTCCAATTTGACTCTTTCTTTCTTTCATAGTCAGCTGAATTAAACCTTCACTGTTTTGCTGGATTGGTTCTTGTTTCTTTTCTTTACTAATCAGTGGACTACAAAAGTATGTAACATTTACACCGATTGCTCATTTATGCTCTTGGAAATCCAAACTAATACAGTTGGTGCGTTTTCAATGATGTTCAGTATATTATATAAATGTGTGTTCCAATGGTAGTAGGAATGTTCCTAGAACGTCATTCTGTCTACGCCGTCAGTGTTTGTTGTGTGTTCATGTAATACAACATGTAATACAGCCTCGTTATCATGTAATACAGCCTCGTTATCATGTAATACAGCCGAGTTATCATGTAATACAACCACGTAATCATGTAATACAGCCGAGTTATCATGTAATACACCCACGTTATCATGTAATACAACCACGTTATCGTGTAATACAGCCACGTTATCATGTAATACAGCCACGTTATCACTGACTGAGTTTGGTTTTTACGCCGCTTTTAGCAATATTCCAGCAACATCACGGCGGAGGACACCAGAAATGGGCTTCACACATTGTGCCCATGTGGGGATTCGAACCCGGGTCTTCGGCGTGACGAGCCAACGCTTTAACCATTAGGCTAACAGCCACACACCCCCACCCCCCACACCCCCACACACCCACACCCCCACGTTATCATGTAATACAGCCGAGTTATCATGTAATACAGCCGAGTTATCATGTAATACAGCCGAGATATCATGTTATCAGCCACGTTATCATGTAATACACCTTCGTTATCATGTAATACAGCCGAGTTATCATGTAATACACCCACGTTATCATGTAATACAGCCGAGTTATCATGTTATCAGCCACGTTATCATGTAATACACCTTCGTTATCATGTAATACAGCCGAGTTATCATGTAATACAACCGAGATATCATGTAATACACCCTCGTTATCATGTAATACACCCACGTTATCATGTAATACAGCCGAGTTATCATGTAATCAGCCACGTTATCATGTAATACAGTCGAGTTATCATGTAATACCCCTGGTTGTAAACACTTAAAGATCCAGGTTAAAACTGGTCTTCAGTATCCCATCGTATCCCAGATGCGTAAATAGATGCTAATGATGTCAATCACTGGATTGTCTGGACCAGGTTCGCCTGTGT